GTGCTAATGTGCCGCTTCTCCCCAACATCTCATTGTAGTGTTTAGCCTTCTAAGCAAGCTCGCGCAAACTCTCCGGGAAGAACTCATGTTCTTCTGTCGTGTATTTGTGCTGATCCTGTCCGTGCTGGCTACCGCCTGTGTTGTTTGTGCAAACCTATTTGATGTATTTCGTAGAGACATCGGTGGCGGAAGTACAAAGCAGACGCTCTGGTACAGCAAGGCGACCGTGGGCTCTGGTATTAAGGATTTGGTGAGGGATAGCCTGTGTAACGAATACAAGCTCTTCTTTCAGATCAGTGAGGGTGTTGCAGTGGGCGGTGCTGCCATTGGCTTCATTGTCTTGATTCTCGCCATTGTCCGGTTGTTTATGGGGCGTGGGAGCTGCTTTCTCAGGTGCTTTATTTTATTCCTGACATCCGCCGCGTTTGCCGGGTGTGGAGCCTGTGTGGGTCTTCTCGTGTTTGGATATATGCAAGGCTACTGTCAGAACGACGATTCCCTGAGGGACGCATATGCTCCGTTCAAGGACCGTGGATACGAATTCGTAGAGGGATTCTACCTTATTTGTGTTGCATGTGGGCTGTTTCTCTTTGTCAACTTTTTCCAGTGCTGCGCGTAGAAGCATAGGAAGGTTGGTGGCCCGATTGGCACGTAATAATGATCTTTGTTTTCATCCCCTCACACCTGTGATGCCCCTTCGAGCGGGTGCGTGCTTTTTACTTGCGGGCATCAAATCAAGGTGCTGCGTGCTATATTTCGCTTCAGTTGTCATAGGTGTTGTGGTGCCCCTTCGCCGTAAGTGTGAGAATGTTTCTGTTTTTAAAGACTGCAAGACAGTTCTTGGTATGTGCTTAAAGTTTTTGTTCTATTTTTGCTTGCACTCCCTTGTGTTGTCAACTAATGCTACCCAGCTGAGGTGCTTCTTTTTTTTCTCTTTTCATCGATTGATTTCCGCTTGGCGCGCACACCTGTGGTGGGCGGCGTTGCAGCCAGCGGGGTGCTGCCGGTCAACACGCTGGTGGCTGGTGTGCCACGTGCTTCTCTCCGCTGTGTCTATTGTGGTGGGTTGGTGTCGTGGTAGAAAGGAGCATGTCGGACCGCGACGAGGACGACGACCGGCTGAGCCTCAACTTCGGTGAGGAGCAAGACGAAAGCACACCGTGCAGCGAAGACGAGCAGAGCGAGGCCGACGGCGCCGGTGTCGTGACGTCCGGGCCGGCTGCGAAAGGCTCCGCCACGAGGCGCGACGACAAGGACCGTGTGACGGCACCGGTGCTGACGAAGTACGAGCGGGCGCGCATCCTGGGCACGCGGGCGCTGCAGCTCAGCATGAACGCCCCCGTACTGGTGGCGCTGGAGGGCGAGACGGACCCGCTCACCATTGCACAAAAGGAGCTGCGCGAGGGCGTCATACCGCTCATCATCCGGCGGGTGCTGCCGGACAACACGTACGAGGACTGGCGGATCAGTGAGTTGGACATCGACTTCGACCGCCCCGCTGACGAGCGCTACACGAACATCTAACCCTCACCAACGTGGCGGTGCGCCGCTCTCTGTACGCCCCACTCTCCCCGCCCCATCACTGAGGTGCTAATGTGCCGCTTCTCTCCAACTTCTCATTGTAGTGTTTAGCCTTCTAAGCAAGCTCGAGCAAACTCTCCAGGAAGAAACCATGTTCTGCTGCCGTGTGCTTGTGTTGCTCACTTCCGTGCTGGCAACAGCCGCTGCTGCTTGTGCAAACGTATTCACTCTGTTCCGCAAGAGTGACGGAAGTACAAAGTACGAGCAGACGCTCTGGTACAGCAGAGTCACTGCGGGCCACAACAAGGAAATGGTGAAGGACAGTCCGTGTGACCAATACAAGCTCTTCTTTCAGATCAGTGAGGGCGCTACAGTGGGCGGTGCTGGCGTGGGGTTCATTGTTTTGGTTGTCGCCATTGTACAGCTGTTTGTGATCTACAGAGCCTCTTCATTCAGGTGTGGTATTTTCACTTTCTCATTCATCGCGTTTGCCGCGTGTGGAGCCTGTGTGGGCCTTCTCGTGTTTGGATATATGAAGGGTTACTGCCAGAACGACGATTCCCTGAGGGACGCATATGCTCCGTTCAAGGACAGTGGATACCAATTCGCGGAGGGATTCTACCTTATTTGTGCTGCATGTGGGCTGTTTCTCTTTTCCAGTCTCTTCCAGTGCTGCGCGTAGAAGCATAGGAAGGTTGGTGGCCCGATTGGCACGTAATAATGATCTTTTTTTTTCATTCCCTCACACCTGTGATGCCCCTTCGAGCGAGTGCGTGCTTTTTACTTGCGGACATCAAACCAAGGTGCTGGGTGCCATGTTTTCCACCTAACTGCCGCACCTGCGGTTGCGGTTGTTTATTTTCCGTACCTGCGTAGAGTTCCAGTGTAGAAGAAAATAAGACCTGTTCTGGATATGCAAAATTCTTTTTATATTCTTTTTTGTTGTCTCGTTTCCCCTCGCCCACTTTAAAAACTATTTCGCCCAGCTGAGGTGCTCTTTTTTCTCTTTTCATCGATTGACTCCGCTTGGCGCGCACACGTGTGACGCGTTCGTGTGGCGCACACCTGTGGTGGGCGGCGTTGCAGCCAGCGGGGTGCTGCCGGTCAACACGCTGGTGGCTGGTGTGCCACGTGCTTCTCTCCGCTGTGT